GTAAAATACCAGTCGTCCTTTCGTCGAGATTGCTTGAAAAACCGGATTTATAGGTTCGCTCCATCTTTCTGGCACAAAAGATCGTCCAGTCACTTTGCGTAGCACTGGTGGAAGTGCCTGGGCGGGAATTGTTATTAAATCAAGTAAGATTGCTTCCATTTTCAATGCGATAGATAATGCGGGAGGTCTAGTACTGCAATCTCTAAGAGATTCTTAGGGAAGGATTTATTCTAATACTCATTGGAGCCAACCAAACCAGAAATAGTGCTATTATATAACAGCGAAGTCAGATAATTTCCAAAAATATATAAGAATTATTGTTCATTAACATTTCAGATGGCTTTTTGTTCGCTCATCATGTATATGTGGAAGACGCACTGATTGGAATTACGGTAGATTCGCCAAACATTCAGCTCCATTCTGTACATATGATTAGACCAGTGAAATCTGGTATTTATATTTATAATAGATCGGCTAGGACTATAAATTTTGGATCGTCAGAAATAGTCAATTCCTATGGCTGTGGTATCAAAATTTTTCATCGAAATTTTCCTATTTTAATAAAGTAAGTAAAAAATTTATTTATAGTTATTTAAGGCATATGAAAAAATGTTTTGTGGGAAAAATTTTGCAGACAACGTCCGCGTCTGCCGACGCGTATGATACTTCCAGCCCAGTGGTACATGCGATAAGTATACAATCTGGGCATGAAGCGATCCCAAAGCTGGTAAATAAAATGTGCTGGTAAACCAGGGTAATTGACCTGAACCTATCAACAGGAATAGCCCTTTGCACGCGCGGCGAGGTATTAGCCTTATCAGCGTGGAACGTCAGAACACTTATGGACGTTGCAAGCCGATCACTGTCCACACCCTGTCTAAGTATCGTGTGGATATCGCTTGCTTGTCGGAGGTCCGTCCTCCTCACTTTGGATCTCCAGCAATTATTAATCCTGGTTCAGAGCAAAGATATTGGCTCTATCACTGTGGTGTCTCAGATAATTTGAGGCGAAATAGCGTAGCGATTGTTATGTCTGAAAAGGCTCGATCCGCTCTGAATGGAAACCAGTAAATGACCGTATAGCCTACGCCCGTTTTAAAGGCAAGTGCTGCAATACTTCGGTCGTCAATGTCTATGCTATAACTCTGTTTGCAGCTGACCGTGATAAAGATAAGTTCTATATGGAACTTCAACTGCTTACAAAGTCTCTACCGAAACATGACATGGTCATAATCAGAAGAGAGTGGAATGCGCGCGTAGGTCATTATGCCGCTGCGATGATTTCGACAATTGGCGAATATGGCATCCAAGACCAATGCACCAATGGAGAACGTCTTCTTTCTTATGCAGAACTGTTATTAACACTTGCTTCCAGCATTTTAGAAAATATCTAGTCACGTGGAATTCCCCGGATAACCAACATTTCAACCAGATTGATTCTGTCTTAGCCAGTCGCCGTCGGAAGAGTTCCGCACTAGATAGTGATTCCTATCGCAGCTCTGAAACGGGCAGTCTTCGTGGATCTGACCATGCTATGGTTCAAGCCGAAATCCGCATAAAATTGACAACTCGCAGAAAACAGCATCCCCCAAGTTCCTTCAACTATCTCAAACTAAAAAATTCGGGGACAGTGAGCGCATTTCAAACCGAATTATTGAAGCATCAATGATACAAATATCAATGATTTTTCTGGAACGGCAACTGAATACTGGTCCAAACTAAAGGAATGTCTTCGAAAATCAGCCACTTCCACAAGGGCATACTGGCAGGAACTGTGCTAGTTGGGTATCGGAAGCAATTGTCCAACTATCTGAAAAAGCTGCCAAAGCACGAATGTCAGGTGATCCTGACTACCGGATGCTTTCAAGATTTGCAACGAAAGCAGCAAGGGAGAGAGATCACTATTGAAATGATATGGCCTCAAGAATGGAGAAGGCTCGATTATGCGATAATAGGAAACCATTCCGCTTTCTTCATAAAGCAACTATAACTCGGGGAACGATGTTGTAAAATGGTGAAATGGTAAGGGTAAGCAATGGCGTGTCAGTCAAAAGCATTAAGGACTGCCTCATAAGATCAAAAAAATTCTTTGAGACCAAACTTAACCAAACTTAGCCATCTGTTACCCTTGATATAACTGATATGTTCGTCGAACCATGCACTTGCGAGCAGCCAAGAGAAAAAGAAATAATCTCCGTTATCAATAAGCTTAAGGCCAATAAAACTCCGAGATGGTCTTCAGGCGAAACTCGTCAAATGTTGTCCATCGTCCTTCATAACACCAACAAATGTACACTCTAGTATGGAAAAATAAATATTACCAAATGACTGGAACAAAGCAATTATGCACCCAATTCTCAAGAAAGGCGACAGGCCATACTGCGAAAGACATCTCAGCGAAAATTTTTGCTTTACTTCTACTTATTAGACTTATGACAATAAGGGATGTTCCTTAATTAAGCTGGATTTAGACCAGGATGCTGTTGTGCTGACCAGATATTTACGTTAAAAAGGGTGCTGGAACATCGCTTGAAATATCTGCAACCTACTGTCACGTGTTTCATCGACTTTGCGGCCTTTGATTCAATTGATAGAGCGGCGCTTTGGAGGGTGATGGGACGTGACGGTATTTCAGAGTAAATCATTAGACTCATCAGGGCATTTTATGAGCGCACGTCGGCGCAGGTCTGTGTATATGGGGAGCTGATTCCTTTGAAATAAGAACAGGTGTCCGAAGGTGTCAAGGCTGCGTCCTTTCCCCCACAATATTCAACTATGCGATAGACTGGATAATGGACATCGCTTGTCGGCTTGTCACAAGAGGTGTCCAAATCAGTCCGGAGCATTATATCACAAATCTTGAATCTTGAATGATGTAGTCCTTTTTGTTGGCAGTTACGACGAAATGCAAGTAATGCTAAATAACGTGTCAGAAACTGGAGCAAGAATGAGGACTCAGGGTCAATATATACAAAACGACAGTCTTTTCGTTTATATACAAGAGGTTGATAAAATGTCTATTTTTGTAAATTCATTGCCGGTTGAGGAAATGCGCAATTTTAAATACCTTGGGTCCACTCTAATACCAAATGGCCAGGCAAAAAACGATATTACAACCAGGATCACGGCAGCTAGAAATGCTTCCGCTTGAAAAAACCATTATGAGAGTGAAAGATATTAAGAAATTAGCTACCTTTAACCACTCTTGTCTAAGGTACTTTTATGGGTCCGTCGAGCGGATAAAATATCACATGATCGCATCCACCTTCGTTCAAACACTACCTGTATTAATAATGTTATCACAGAGCATCGCCTTCGCTGGTTAAGGCACATTCTCCGTTATCCACAGGAGTTGACGCATATTTCATTACTTGCTAACACCTGTGATGGATGGCGAGAAGGGCTAATCAAGACTTGGAATGATACAGTCATGAAATATTTTGAGCGTATAGGGGAACCAGCAGCGTATGGACTTAGACGATGAAAAAAGGAATGATTTCTATTATTATTGTCATCATTATTGTCATGGCTTATTATTGACGATGGCATCAGACCGCGCCGCTTGGAAACCTCTTACCCTTGTAGCCGTTGCAGCCAACCAGTAACGGTGAGGGTTATTAGAACAAAAACGAGAAGAACCTTTGCGAAATAATTTAAAATCTGGCTTTTAGAGTCTTTAGCTCTTGGCCTACAACACATGATGGTAGGAAATTGATTAATTTCAAAATTAAAGGAGACAACCAAGAAGTGTGGACGGATGATGATTTATGTACTTCATCCTGCTGTAGAAAATAAGAATAATAATTTTTCTATATTCGTTCATTTTCGGTTTCCGTTTGATGTTTTCTGATTAGAACGGAAGGACAGTTCGGTACTGCCGAGATTTCTTGGAGAACAAGAAAGGGCTCAAGCGTAGGCCTAAGTGGATGCCATTGATGGCTCCGGAAGGTTTAACGCATCCTGCACGATGAATAAAGCGTTCCGAGATTTTTCAAAGTTTGATATCGATGGCCTCATCCGTATTCTCAAATTTTGCGCAGCAGCCGGTTTATCCTTCTTAGATAAGGTAAGGTAGCAAATTATTGTTTAGCTGTTTTTCATCTACGATTATTTAAAATTAATTAATCGTCGATTGTGTCGAAGGCGTGTGTTTACTAATTTTCTGCTTCGCTTCATAATTTTTGTGCACAATTTTGAAGCATTCGCAGGCTGCTTCACAGTTGCACGTAAGCATCGATATCGATATTATTATAAATATATGTTTGAATGACACATTAGTTTTGCTGATATTAGTTTTTGTAATTTTAATTAGGTAAGACTGCTGTTAAATTTGTCTAATGATTTTCAAACGATTATTTGGTATCTTCGTTAGGAAATTGCCAAATAAATGCGAGGTTGGTTTATTAATTTGTAAAAAAAGGATGAATGTGGGCGAAGGAAGGATGATTCATCCAGCATCTTTTAGTTGTTTTGCAAATAGTTTTAGCGGTACTCCATCGAGTTTCGGCCTCATAAAGGGCCAATTTTGCAAATTAGCTGATATAATTGATTTTTTTTTCGTCGTTCATCCTGAATCGGGTCGACTGGAAACGAAAGAATCCGATAGAATTTTCTATTTTTATGGTACCAAAAATGAATCGGTTGATAAACAGGTTCGCGAAATTTTTTCCCTCGAAACCATTTTATCATTTAGGTGCTAAAATTCGTCGTCGTTTGGCCATTACTCGCCCGAACTGCTTTTCAGCCTAGGACAGTTGAAAATAGATCTGTGTGGTCTGTTGTATATTGTTTTAAAAGGCCACTGTTTTATTATACCCACCTGAATTTGGAGGCGGGAAGGCCAAGTGGTTGTTACTCATGCTGTTGTCTCACGAATCAGGATTTCTTGTTCAACAGGGATAGTTTATTAAAAATTCGAGTTGTGAAGAGAGACCCATCTCTTTCGTCATTTTTATCACCAGATGGTTTCTAGGCAAAAATCCTTTCCTAGCAGCAGGCAGTAGAGTTAGAGGATGGTGAGTACCAGTTGCCTCTTGAATTGTAGATTACTTTCAACTAGATTCAAAAGTGCAGTACCAACCAAGTCCATGCATGCTGTTGTCGCGCGAGTCAGAAAACTGTCTGTGCTTTGTTATTAATGAATTTCCTACTTTAATTACTATTTCAAAAATCAGGTCATTATTCATGATTTTTATTTTTATATTTTTTTGAAACTGAAATCTTTGTATATTTGAATAATTTTTTACAGACGCAGTTGACTGGGTTTGCAGAGGCTGTTGTTAATTTTACTGAGAATTTTGTTGAAGAAGATTGTGCAGGTAAGACAGCAGAATTTCCATTTCGAGATGTACATACAGCTAAGCAATTACACGTGTATATTCTGGTAGAATCGGCCAAATTTATTGTCGGAATTGGTGTAAATAAGTTTGTTTATTTTCTTATTCTTTTTTTTGATTAAAAAAAGTTTATATGAAAATTTTTAAGAAATTATATTTTCTCTGTGCGAAGGACAGCCTTTGCCGCAAGATAGATTTTCATAATTCATTGTATTTTGTTAGATTAAACTGAGTTGATTTTTCATTATTCGAGATATGAAAATAAGACGGTCGGTTATCCGATGCATGGTGAGATTCAAGGAGGAAGTATTAAGTCGCCAAGAGCGAAAAAGAATATGAAGAGGAGTAAAATTTCGACATAAGTTAATGCAAAGACTGAAGAAGAATGAAAAACGCTCACCCGTTTCTAGGCTCGTAGACTCGACAGATTTTATCTGGCGATAGAAGTATAGGTAGATCTCCATCATCATCTGGATTTTCGAAGGACAAGTCTGTGGTTGCCGGCAATGAAGTACCTGTGCTCCGAAATGAGAACTGAGGCGTTTTTACCTCAGAGGTGAAAGAAGATACATGAAATGCCATTTTGGAGTAGATCCTGGATGTGGTATCGGATAAGCGGAAGTAGAACGGGAAATTATTGACTTATGTTAATTTATGTATATATATATATATTCAAATATTTGTAACAGAAAGATAAAATTGATTGTAGAATGCAGTGCACTGTAGAAAATTATGTTTTGCATGCACCGACGATTCGAAAAGTCGTTTGTACAGCATATAGTATGTTCCGATTATTTTTCGGCCATTTCACCGCACTTTTTAATCAGAATATTGAGGAGTTGAAAGGTCGTCTTGAATATTTCTTCTCTCGTTATCTTCCTCTTCTTCGTTTACATAAAGTATGATCACTTTCACCTCATTAAATTTTTATTGTTAATAAAATGCCTAGAACTGGAAAATATGCGATATCTTTTGTACTATTGCTTGCCTAATTTTCGTAAACAACTATTAAATTTACCGAACTCCGGCAACACTCGGCAATGTTGAGCAAGATATATTTTCTCCGAGTGAAGATATTTTATCGAGGCCCGTTTCATATGAATCTCACCTGCTTATCAGTCGACTTTGGCTCTTCGTCGTTTGATGAGCTTGTCAAAGGTGTGTTGTACCGAAATAAAGATTGCTTCATCTTTAATAGTTCGGAAAAAATCTCTCAACTGTTACAAAAGATTTATACCGGGGCTCGATAAAATAAATTTTATGATATATTTATATATCGTTTCCGATTTAAACAAAGAGATTCTTGAAAGTCTGTTAAATTATTAAGCTGAGTATGGAATATGGGGTTACGAGCAGATATGAATTTGCATATTAGCTTATCAGAAATGTTTTTTTAATATTCCCATGATTATTCTTTTATAAATTGTAATTAATTATTAATGAATTTCAACCTGGTAAAATAATTGCTATTTTAGATGCCTCTGCTTGATCTTTTTTGTGGTGTCGACTTCTTGGCTCTTGACAGTTTGAATTATCTTCGAGTAGAAAATCTCGTATCTTGTGTACTCGAATCGTTTCCCAAAATTTTGAAATATATGTTTTTTTTCCAAGAACGGCTTTTAACTTATACTGTTCCTAAACGCGATTTACCTGTACTTTTTCGATATTTGACTCAAAACATATTGAGCACTTCTATGCGAGCAGAATTACAACCTGAATTGGAAAGGTTTTAGTTTTTCTTAGGTAACGCAAATTGCTAAACTAAATTTTACATATCTTTTTTAAAAATCGTTTTATAGAAACGATTGGAATAGACATCACAAAGGCAGATTTCTCACGGGTGTAACAGATGTTTCTGCTCAAACGATCATTGTAAATGCCAAAGAGTCAAAATTGCCTGTGGTTTACTTATCAAATGAGGATGATAATTTTTCTCTTTCACCATACGAATTAGTAAATCAATTCTTTCATTTGTTTTTGAAACTTTATTAGATCGAGACGATTTCTATTTGATATTTTGCACTAAATTAGAAATAATTATGATTAAAATTATTACTCCCAATATTTTGATAAAACAAGCTAGTTTATATCGTACTGGTCTGTTTTCAGATCGTGTATCGCGCTTTAAACGCGACATTTTGCATGTTTATCCAGAAAGATGACGATGTTTCATTTCTGCAAAAACTGGATGATGAGCTTGGACCTGAACTGAGTATACTGGCATCTGGAATAGGTGATTCTTTCGAGTTAGCGTCGGATTTGCCACGCAAAGAAGTTGATTTTCACTTTATATACTATAATCCAGTCAGTTTGAGCATTAAATCAAGTTTTATGGAGCAGATTGGTTTTACGGCTTTAACACTTCCGACAATACCTTTAGCTGTTTACAAGTAAATATTCGTTTCATTTTTCACCGAATGGATATCTAAAAATAGAATTTTTTGAGCCTTATATTGTTTTTTGAATTTTTTTTCATTGATTTCAATCATCAGTAGTTTATACGAATTTTTTTCTTTTTTGTTTTCTTTTGGGAAATCATTGAAGATTTTGGATATATAGAAAGTTTGTTGCAGAATTTCATGTGACTTAATAGATACATTTTTGATGGATAACCAGTCTGGCGAAATAATGTTAAAAACGGAATCCAATTGGTGTGTAGCAGCTAAGTATTTAAATGATCGTTATCTAATAATTTTCACGAGTGGTCTGTCTACGACTACTGTAGCTGAATTTGCTGAAACTGTTGGCAATATAATTAAAACTCATTTTAATTCCTTTTTGGTTTGATTAATATTTGACTTACACCATTATTTGATTTCTTTTTTTCATTTAAATGACATATATTCGTATAGAATGCATTACAACGTTTGTTCATAATGTGCAATGATAAATCTATGATTTGCCGGATTAGGCCAGAACAAATAGTAATCGGTTCATCTTTGGGAGATCATTTTTTGATATTTCAAGTCAGCTAGTTATTTCTGTGGTGGTCAATGATATTGTGGCGAAGAACTATTTGAAGATAAAACTGTAATAATTTTTAAAGGTTTTTGTCTTAATTTATTAAAATTTAAACGTAAATGTAGGCATGCAAGTTGGAATAAGCAGTATTATTGCGAAGTGAAATAAAAATTTTTTTTTCATACTGGTTCTTCCATTTCCTTTAGGTATGTAAGTAATTTCTGAAAGTAATTCATCTTGTACTTTTTTTCCGTTTCATTTTTCTTTAGGCAAATATTTATATTGTAAATTTCGAATTTATGTAAATTTTCTGAATATTGTGTTAAAGAAAATATTAGAAGTTTAGGCTCTTTGGGTTAGTTTGTTTAAGTTTGGAAGTTTTTTTCCGTCGATAAAAAACTTTTTCAGTTGATCAAGTTCTTTTGTGGATTTTAGAACAAATTGTCTTTTTTGACTTAGGAAAAAATGGTTAATAGAGAGAGGAAGACTGAATAAAATCCGAATGACTCCTAAATGGCCTTGTGGCGAATGGAGCAAAAGAAGATTTCTTGTAAGGTTTATTGGTTTTTATTTTTTAGTTGTTTCGTAATTCGTTTGCTCATTCATCATGTCTTTTGTTTTTTATATTGTCAGAATCCTTATTTTGTTGCAATTGTTTATATGTATTTTATTGAGTTAAATTGATTTTGCACGTAAAATGTTAATCAAACTCCCATTCATGCCTTTTATTTAATTATTTATTTCATTAACGTTTTTACTGGAAGTTATGACAAGAAAATTCAATTGGAAATCAATTTGCTTGCATTTATGAGTTTTAAAAATGGAAATTTATGCTTAAAATAGAAATTTTTAGACTTAGATATATGTTTATTGGAATGAATTCGAAGTCGGATTTTTCTCAGGATATCGTCATTTAATTAGCAGGGGGCTGAGTATTATTTTCGGGAAGTTTCAGATAATTTTTTTCTTTCCCTTAATAAAGTTAGCAAATACTAAACTGAATCAAATCGTTGTAAATTTAGCGGAGAAATCGATACCTCCTGTTATTTATTTCTTATTGTGCTTACCTTGTTGGAATTACTGCTTTGTCAAGTTTTTTATATGTCGTCGAAATAGCTTAGTCTTTGGCACAAAAAAAGTTCACTCTGAGGTGTATTTGCGTAATTAGTTTTTTTATTCAGTTTTCTATTGGGGCTATTCATCTTTGTTTTTAAAAGGTTTAATAAAGATATCTCTAAGACATTGGGAGATGGGGAATGGTTTTTAAGCGGTCGGAGGTGAAAGGCGGGTTCTTCATTATAGTGTGATTTGGATGCAGAGTTATCGTAGCTTTATTTGGATTTAACCTTTAATGAATTTGATTTCTATGAAGAAATGAGGGGCCGAATTAGTGGTAATTAAATCTGTCGCTAAAAAATCAGACTTTGTCGACTATTGGTCAGAAATAATACCTAAGGTTTTTAACGATTTTACAAGATATTTCGGTTTGTGAATTTATTTTGTAAAAAAAGATTTATTTTCTTTTTTTTATTGCGTTCTAATTAAAAATATTTTCAGATGGGCGTGAAGAATAAATAAAATTTAATGAGCAATAGCACTGTTTTATCGCATAATAATATTGATGTTATTATTAATAAAATCGAAAACGAACTATAGGTTTGAAAAAGGTATGGAGAGAGGGGGGGGTACGAATTATAGGTTTAAGCGGTCGGAAGATCGCTATAATGTATTGACGAAATAACTTTATGCCATAAGAAAGCCATGAAGTTTATTTCCTTTTACTGTTTGTATAATAACTGTACAAATGATATAATCCTGAAACTGATTTATGTAGTAGAAAAAAGTGAGTGTATCAGATCGGAGTTTACAGATCTCTTTCACAACTGTTTGCATTAACTTATGTAAATTGAAAGTTAGGTGGGTATGTGCCCACAAATTGGAATTAATTATAGCATGCTGTGAAGATTACGGCGTAGCTGTATCGGATGACGTAACAAAAACAAACATCGAAATATTTATATCGAAATTCTCCGATATGTTTGAGGATTTAAGGTTTTATTTCAATTAACTGTATTTTTGCCAGGGCATTTATTATACGTTCTACCGAGCTGGGAATATGCGCATCTGAGCGGATGTCGTTTAAAGGCAAGGCCGCTCGATCCACTCGACCCTTTCGCCATAGAGCCACTTAGGAGTAATTCGGATTTTGTAACAGGTTTCTTCTTCTCCTCTCACCATTATTGATTAGGCTAACTCCTCTGTCTACAAGGGTAAGACGTCTCCAAGCTACTCGGTCCGACGCCATTGCTAGTAGTAATAGAAACCCTTCCTTTTTCCATCGTCTAAGTTCATGAATCGCTAATCCCCTATGCGTTCAAAATCTTTCCTGACTGTATCAGTTCATGTCTTGACTGGTCCTCCTCGCTTTGGTGCCAACCATCACAGGGTTTAGCAAGTAATGAAATATGCATCAACTCCTGTGGTGGACGACGAATAACGTGCCCCAACCACCGAAGGCGACGCTTTGAGATAATGTTATTAATGCAAGTGGTATTTGAGCGATGATGGATACAATAATGTGCAACCTTATCCGCTCGGCGGATCCATAAAATATATTTTGGACATGAGTGGTCAAAGGCGGATAATTTCTTAAAATCCTCCAATCTCATTGGCCATGTTTCGCATAAGATCGAACGAATTGCAGTTATATGGATTCGAATTTTCGCCTTTATGGTAATTTCGCGATGGTTCCGTAAAGGTTTCATCAACTGGAAAAACATATTTCTAGCTGTCCTTATCCCGGTTACAATTTCTTTCTTTGCCTGGCCATTTGGGATTAGAGTGGATCCAAGGTATTTAAAGTCGAGCACTTCTTCTACCTGCAATGTATTGATAAAAATAGGTATTTTATCAGTATCGTGTATATAAGAGGAAAACATTTTATTTACATAGATTTTCAGTCCAATTCTCGCTACAGTTGTTGACACATTGTTTAATATTATTTGCATTTCCTCATAACTGTCGGCAAAAAGGACCATCATCAGCGTAATCTAGGCTGATGCTATGTTCTGGACTGATTTGCACAGCTCTTGAGTGGCGGCAAGCGATGCCTATTATCCAGTCTATTGCATAGTTAAATATTGGGAAAAGAACGCAGCCCTGACGGACACCAGTTCTTATTTCGAAGGAATCTGTCAATTCCCCATATATATAGACCTGTGCCAGGATATATGCTGATAAAATGTCTTTACAAGTCGAGTGATCTCTGGGACACCGTCACATTCTATCACTTTCCAGAGCGCTGCTCTATCAAATGAATCGAAGGCAGCTGCAAAATCGATGAAGCGACGGTGGGTTGCTGGTATTTGAAGCGATGTTCCAGCACTTTCTTAGCGTAAATATCTGGTTAGCACAACTCCGTTCCCGTATGAATTCAGCTTGCTTAAGATGCATTTTGCTATCTCGTGTTGTCATGAGACTATTTAGCAGAAGAGAAGCGAAAATTTTTCCAGAGATGTCCAGTAGGCTGATTTTCTCTATAGTTGTCGCTGTCACCTTCTTTAGGAATTGGAAGCAGAATTGTTTTGCTCCAGTCTTCTGGTATTATTATTTTTTGCCATACCAGAGACAACATTTGTTGAAGTTTAACGATGATGGGCAACATTTGAAGAATTCAGCACGAAGTCCATCTTCTCCGGGAGTTTTATTGGTCTTATGCTTGTGGATTAAAGAGATTATTTCCTCTTCTGTTGGCGGTTCATAATTGCAAACGTAAGGTTCGACGGGCGAATCAGTTATTTTTGTTTTTTTTTTTTTAATTCGGGACAATAGACGGCGCTTCGTGGTCAAGTTTGGCCTCAAAAAATTCTTTCCATCTTCTGAGACGATCTTTAACAGTTTTAATAGGCATTCCATTAATGTCATGTATCATTTCACTGACCCGTTCTAGAGTTGTTGTTTTGTGAAGAATGCGAAACAGTTTCCTATTCATCTATCCGAGCCGCCGTCTCCCTTCTTAAGGCCATATCACTCCAGTAGTGATTTCTGTCTCGCCTTGCTGCTTTCATTGCAAATCTTCGAAGCACCCAATGATCACCTGACATTGATGCTTTGGCAGCTTTTTCAGATAGTTGGGCAGTTGGGCAGTTGCTTCCGACACCCAACTATCATACATCCTACTAGTATGCCCTAACGAAGTGGCTGACTTTTGTTGGCATGCCTTTAGTTAGGACTAGTATTCATTCCCCTTTCCAGAGATGTCATTGACGTTCCTTTCACTGAGGTGTTCCAATAATACGCTTTGAAATATTTATTGCTCCCGGATCTTTTAATTTGAGATAGTTAAAAGATCTTGGGATACGTTGTTTCTTATGATTTATCAGTTTTATGCGAATTTTGGCTCGAACCATAACATGGTCCGATCCATGGCATTTGCCAGTTTCAGCGCCCCGATAAGAACGATTATCAAGTGCAGAACTCTCCCAGCGGTGACTAACCAATATATAGTCAATCTAATTGGAATATGGGTTGTCCGGAGAGTTCCACGTGACTAGATATTTCATCCGATGCCGAAAGAATGTATTAGTAACAAAGAATTCATGCTCTTTGACAAAACGAAGAAGGCGTTCTCCATTAGTGCACTGGATCCCGATGCCATATTTGCCAATCACCGAGTTCATTATAATGGCATCATGACTTAAGCGCGCATTCCAGTCTCCCCCGACTATGACTTTGTTACCTCTCTTTGAAACAGTAGGGATGTCGTTAACAGTTGAAGTTCCTCATAGAATTTTTCTTTATCGCGGTCATCTGCGCATAAAGTTGGAGTATATACACTAATGACCGAAATATTGCAGAACTTTCCGTTGAAATAGGCGTAGAGTAGGCCATACCTGGTTTCCATTCATCAGAGTGGATCGAGCCTTTTCAGACATAACAATCGCTACACCATTTCGCCTCAAATTATCTGAGACACCACAGTGATAGAGCCAATATCTTTGCTCGGAACGAGGTTTAATAATTACTCGAGAGCCGACGTGAGGAAGACGGACCTCCGAAAAATAAGCCACATCCACGCAGTCTTTAGAGAGGGTGTGGACGGTAATCGCTTGGATCGCAACATCCATAAGCGTTCTGACGTTCCCAGCAGCTATAGCCAGCACCTCACCGCGCTTACAAAGTGGATAGGTTCTCGTCTCCCTTTATG